CATCATAACGTCATATAAGAAATCACAGCAATGTATCAAACAAAATCATACAATAAATCACTACAATGCATCAAATGCAAAATGCTGCTCCGATACTTTCGTATCGGGCAGCTAAAAATCATTTACGGTACGCAAACTCCGCGATTGTGTGCAAGCCATGTGACAAAAATTCACATCAAAATATTAAATATTATAGTGTTTAGCATAAAGCATTCATTTTCTATAAGTTTAGTTAATATTATCCTTAATTCGGGTTGCAAAAAAAAAATTTTTGTCATTAGGTGATACAAGCTAATTCCTTGGTTTTTTTTATTACATTAAACTTTTAAACAGATCAATCAGTTGGTTTTAAAAAAAATATATATATTATAAATTTCATTTAAAGAATTCAACTAGTTATTAAAACATAAAATTCAAAATTTCAAATTTGATCAGATTGGGTTAGTAATTTCGTATAGCTTTCAAATCAATATATGTTGCAATAGAATTCTGAATACACAAATTTGAGTAATTAAAGAATTCAATATAATGATTTAGAATTAACTCAGTGACTAATAAAGTTTGTTTTACTAAGAGATGATCAAATTGCTTGTTAAATAAATCTGAAGGTTATTTAATGCAAAAAATCAAATCAATTTTAAATACTTCAAGTTCTAGTCAGCATTACAAAAATTTAAATTGGATATGTTAGTAACAGAGATAAAAAAATAAAAAAGCAAAACCAGCCAGAGTTACTGAAGTGCGCAATCATTTTAGTTATTTGTAATTTGAAAATTATATATGAAATGAATTCAGGTTAATTTATTATCTAGATATATTTATATCTTTATATTAGCTTATTTATATTTAAATTTCTTTAGTAAGATTTTAAATTAAGAGACTTTAATATTTTAATACCCGCAATTTCGCAAATGATTGAATCAAATTTTATGAATTACAGTATTTTTAATAATCACTAAAATCGAAAAAATCCGCCTATATGTATATATAGGCTGGTTTGCTACAAAGACTTAGCATTATAATTATAAATATTGTATAAGCAATAGTCACGCACAGAAAATTGCCTCTTATCTCGAAATAAAGCGCCCGAAATAATATGAAGGTGATCAAAGTAGCGCTCATATGTCCGTTATTGCAGAAAGGAGACATCTTGCATTGCACTTTTGTTTCTCATCGAGGAAATATTTACAGTGGCGGTCAAAGGTAATGGAGCAGGAAAAAAAACGGTTAGATAGCATTATTTCGCGCAATTCTGGTTGTTTCTTTTTTTTTTTTTGTTTGTTTTGTCGTGAACTTCATAGTTTTTCACTCATAAAAAATTTAATACAAATTTTTCAGGGGAACGTGCTTTATTCTAATTGACATACTGCATTACTTCTGTACGTATTTAATGCAACACAAAAAAACAAAAAAAAGTTTTTTTACTATCTTTATGCCTTTTGGCATCTACCACCTAGTGTACCCTCCACGTGCTTAATAGCGTCACGAATTCATGCAGATATGGATTGGATCAGGTTTTAGTATCGAATTCCTGCCAGACCATCTGGATCGTCCTGTTAAAAAATGATATCTCAAATATTAAACCTGTGATCCCTAACAGTATCTAATTGGATATTTTTTTCTTCTAATTCCCTAATTCTTTTGAGTAGAAGTTCAGGATTATTGGATTGAGGTTCAGGATTATCTGATTGAGGTTCAACAGTATAGTTCGGCATCCACGTAAAGCACCCCAGTTTATAACAGATCCACCTTCAAATTTAATCGTAGATTTAACATGAAAACGGTTTAAAGGTTCACCGGGACGCTTCCAGTAGTATTGCTTACCATCCGATCCAAAAATCTTAAATTTCGACTCAAATTATCTTGGACCAGTCTTCGTAAGACCAATTTCATATTTTTTTCGCAAATTCTAGCCGACGTTTTCGGTGATTTTCATTTAGGTAGAGCTCTTTTCTCTTAACCCTGACACTAGACCATGGTTCCTGGGTGTACGACGAATAGTAGATGCCGAAATCTCATACCTAGTGTTGGCAGGCGAAACTTTTTTTGGCAAATGGCGAAAGACGAAACCAGGCGAAACTCTTGCGAAGCGGCGAAACTCTGGTGAAATGTCGGAACTCTGGCGAAATCCCTGGTAAAGTTGAAACCCTCTAAGATTTTAGAAAAAACTGAGCCATGTTAGTAAACCAAAATATTTTACATGTGGCTATTAAGCACAGCATGTGTCTTACATAAACATGTACAAAAGCAATAAACAAAGTGATAACCTTTCATTTGTATTCAAGTACTATAAAGAAAACTAGATTTTCGGCTTTTGGAACTTCGAATTAAGTAAATTTAGCCTTGAAAATTCAAAGCCAAAATAAAACCTTGTTTTCTTTTAGTAGCGCTTATCTATGTATTAATATTATTTATGTAAAATAAATTTATTGTTAGATTGTTGAGGTTTTTTCTTTTTAATATTTCATTGTTAAAAACTTTAATTAAGTGCTATACATACGTATGTAAGTAGTTCGTTAATACTAGGGATGGGCAAATCGAAGATTTTTTGAATGTTCTAGCGTTGCCAACCTAAAAAATTTCACTGGCCAATCAGATTTCAAGATCAGGCGTGACGAAAACAAACCAAAAACCCGCTCATAACTCAACATTTATCTATTTTGTCCCTCATCGAGGAGGTGTTGAATATAACTAAATACAATAAAATACAGTTTCGGGTTTATCTGCCCCTTCCGCCTTCGTGCTATTGTGCCCATATTACTAATACAGAATTTGAGAGTATCGCATGAACAACTTATGTTACTGTTTACTACATGTGCAACTGTGCTACTATGCTAAC